GCAGGCCAGGTTGCTGATTCCACAGCTATTTATTCAAAGAATAATCAGACTATATATCCAAAGTAACATCCAACTATCTAAGCAAGATTTGGCTTGGCTGGCTACATATTTGACTATGGATTTTGTATGTGGAGGATTCCATTTTTGGTTTTACTAGATACTATTTGGAATTTCAAACAAAAGGAAGAATGAGATTGTCAGTCCCCAAAAAGAAATATTTATGAAGTAAAACTTTTTTTAAAGAAGAGACAACATACAGGCCTGATATTAAGTTTTAGGAAACTCCCTGGACTACCACCCAAACAAATGTGCTCAAATAATTTCTTGTGATGTACAGTCTACAAATCTTAGTCTCCAGAGGGTAAAGGAAAAGACTGTGCTATAAGACTTTCTAAAACTTGGTATTAAAGAATTATAGGTATGATCTTCTTTGGTATTGCTGAGCTCATTTGAGACGTAGAAACTTAAATACTGACACATGACCAGCAATTTCAGGTTGCTCAGTTTTTGGGAGTCCCATGAGGCCACAAGCATTTCTATGCTCATCACTGACATTTCTTCGGTCAGGTATACACTATGGGCACAAGTTGATCTAAGCTTTGCAATTTGAGTTACATTAATAACATAACTCAAGTTGAAGCTTAGATCTACACACCACAGTGGGTCAATGGGAGACACACTTCTGCTGCCTCCCTCACTCTTTTCTTTCCAGTGGCGTACCATAGTCAACAAAAGAGTGATCAGTGGTCAATTTAGTGAGTCTTCACTAGACCCACTAAATCAACCCCCAGTGGATGGATTGCTGCAGATGGTTCCACCCTGTAATAGAGTCAAGCCCTAGACCCATGGTCACCAACCCATAGATTGTGATTGACAGGTTGTTTGGGGAGGCTCAACCATTTGATTGCAAGGTGTTTGGGCCCCCCACTGTTTCCCCTCACTCCCAAGAAGAAGCCCCCGCTGACGCTACCTTCAGTGTCAATGGAGGTAGTGCCAGCTTCCTGCTGTGTTGGGGGGGGGAAGTCCTGCAGCTGTGCGCCACTTCCAGGGTTTCAGGAAGTGCATGGGCTGCTCCCTCCTCCCCCAAACAGTCGTCGTGTTTCCTGAAATGCCGGGTCTGTGGCGGGCCAGTGACTTACTTCCCCCGCTGCCTTCCTGCACAGGGGGGTGAGTCCCAGGACCGGAGATCGTGTGGTCCTGGGACCTCCTCCCCCAGGGAGGCACCAGGGAGGTCTGTGATGGGACCTGGTGTTTCAGGAAACGCACCGGGGAGCAGCGCACGTACTTCCTGAGACCTGGCTGCAGGTACTGGCCCGAGCTGACCCTACCTCCTGCCCCCACCACCACCCTGCCATCAGCACCGTGCCCAGCCCCTGTCCTCTACTCCCACCAGCACCTTGTCCCAGCACCTTGTCCCCTGCCCCAACACCCACCAGCACTGTACTCCCACCACCCTTCCCCAGGATCCTGCCACCTGCCCCAGCACCCACTGGAACACTGTTCTCTGCTCCAGCATCCACCAGCACAGTTGGGGTGAGGCTTGGGGTGTTTTGGAGGGGTTGTTTTTTTGCATCTCACTTGTGTGGCCCTGACTGACTTTTCTGGGGGTCAGAGACCCCTGACTCAAAACAGTTGCCCTACTCTCCTCATAAATAAAGACAATGCTGAAACCTTTTGTGTTCGACATATTTTATTTTAAAATGAAGCCTGGCCAACAAGCCCCCAATTAGGGCCAACCCCCCACTTTGCCGCAGCATCATAGCATTCCTGTACCCCTCCCACCCCAAATCTAAGCCTATCAGACACTGGAACCCCCTGTCCTGAGCCTCTCACATCCTCCAAACTCTTGCACCCCCACATCTCCAGTCTTCTACCACAACACTCCTGAACCATCCACACACACTGCATATCTGTGTCCTGAGCCCATCATACTCCCGACCTCCCTGCCCTAAGCCCCTCACACACCTCCACCCAAACTCCTGCAGCCTCATATCCACAAGCCTGTGGCTTGCTCAGCACCCCAAACCAAACAATCCCCAGTCTGGAGCCCCCTCCCCAAGCCAGCATCCCCTTCTCCACATCCTCCTGCATCCAAATTCCCTCCCAGAGCTTGCACCTCACCCCTTCCCACACCCAAATGCCTCATTCCCACCCCAGAGCCCACACCTCCTGTCTCAACCCAGTGAGGGTACAGCTAGACTACAAGAGTTTTTCCGGGATACCAGAGGTATCCCGGAAAAACTCTTCCACATCCAGGGATGCGTTTGTTCTTCCGCTTTTTTTAGCAGAAGAGCAAACATGCTCTTTCAGCAGCCCTGTATTCCTCATTCCATGAGGAATAAGGGGGCTTCTGAAAGAAGGGTTTTTTCCAGCTGTTACAGTTTTCCTCCCTTTCAGGAGGAAACTCTCACCGGGTGACTCCTACCCCAACAGTTAACCTGTAGTCCACAGTGTCCAACAGCAGCCTTTTCCGAGTCACTTCAACTAGTCCACCGCTGCCCGTGCGCAGGGAGGGAAGGGAGACCTGGGCCCACCCTCTCTCCAGCTCTCAGCCCAGGACCCTCAGAACAGGGACGGCAGCTTCCTGTTCGGTCGGTGGGGGCTTGCCATAACTCTCTGACCCACGAGCCACTTCTCAGCCCCGTCCTGGGCTCCTTCCTCCCCTCCTGCTGTGCTCCGACGTGCTGCCCTCCTCCAGGGCCTCCTGTTGACTCGTTCCGGAGGCCTCTGTCTCTGGGGCTGCATCACCCTGTGCCCCTTTGCCAGGGCCACTCCCTCCTTCCCCTGGTTCCCCCCCAGCCTTTTAAAAGCGGGTGCCCTCTGCCTGGGATGCTGGTGCAGGCGCAGTCCTGCTGTTCGGCTTGGCAGCGCAGGGTGCTCCCGTGCAAGAGCCTGCAGAGGCCGCCGAACATTCCTGGCACAGCCGCTTGAGCGCCGTGGCGTTCAGGCCAAGCGCTGCATCAGTGCAGGGTGCGGGATTCCCCTCCCGGGCCCCCGACACCCCATTACACCGACATTTGGCTCAGTCTAGATGGGCCAAATGTTGGAAAAACCTCTTCCAACAGACGGATAAAAAAAAAGCAGCAGTGTAGCTGTACCCTGAGTGTGCATAAGGGCTGGGGATAGCAAGTGATGGAGAGGCGGGGAACAGAGAGGGCGGGGCCTCAAGGAAGGGGTGGGGTCTTGGAGAAGGGATGGGGTAGATCTTGGCTTATCCTAACATTTAAAACGTGAGCTTGGGTGTAAAAAGGTTGGAGACCATTGCCTTAGACAAGTTGTGACCTTTACAGTGGGCATTTTTATTTCTGTTCCTGAAGTGTTTATTTTGTTTTTAAACTGGGACCTGCTTTGTCTTGTTTTTGTTTTTCTCTCCCTTGGAGATACCTTAAAGTGGGGCTGATTTTCAGAAAGAGCTAATACCTCCGTCCTTAAAGTACTGAACTGGAATCCAAGCAAATCACTACTTGGTTTGGAAAACTTAGGGCAGAGTGATGATTGCCTTATACACAGTGAGGCATCCAATACCCTCAGAATCCCTTATTAAAACTGTGCTTATAGTTGAGGAGACTCTAGGGTGGGGCTTCACTTTTTGTGATTGAGGCACCTACTCTCTGTATACTCATAAATCATCCCTGACGGTATAGATTTTTATATGGCCCTTATCACTGTGCTTCCAGAGCATGTGACATTCTGACACACAGCTCATTTCAAATTACTCAAGCTTAACACTATGTTTTATCAGCACAGTGCTCTGCATATGTTCCATAAATAAACATACACAGTTCCAGAAAAGAATGCTAATATGTTTGTTTGACAAACGCTGCTGCCTCGCCTCACCACTGAACATGAAAGTATATTTGTTTAAATGAACAGGCTCATAAGTGGTTTATCACAAGCTCAGAGGAAACATTTTTTATGGGTGCCCCCTCCCCTTAAGTTTCCTTTTTTCGGTATCTGCTTGATGTCTGGCAGTTACTTGCTGACAAGGCAGCATGGGTCCAACATGCAGCTTTTGGTTGCTAAAAAGATCAGTTCTGCTGAAATGGAAAAATCAACCCCCACCAAATATTGACGCTTGGTTCAACCAGAGGGCTGACCATGCAGCTAAAGAAGGCATGGCTCTGCACAGAAAGGGAATGCCTGAAACATTCAAAGCAATTTGGGCTGACTTTTGAGACATCTCTGATGAATGTCAATGCCGAAGATAGATATGGCCCCTCCCATCCCTTACTTTGGATATTATGACACATCTGGTACTTGGGTTGTTGTATAATTGGAAAAAGAAAAAAAGAAAGGAGGAGGGTGACCTGCTTTGGCTTCTTTCCCTGGTGTGTGGCAAGGTAAGGCCCATTTCTAATACAGACACAGAAATCTTTGAGGAAGTTGGCATCCTTCCACTCCTCCAGAGGGCAGGAGGAAGAGCACTCCCGGGGAAAGCAGTGCCTGCCTGGTGAGGAGGATCGATTTTAGGATGGAAAGGTGGAGGGCCCAGGCCTTCCAGCTCCCCCAGAGGATCTGTGTCTGTTTCTACCAGGAGGCTGGATCGCTCCAGGCTCTCATGTATGAAGCCCAGACCTGTCAGGCAGGCTTCCCTTGGCCTGAGAGCTCCCCAGTCCGGTAAGGCTCAGTGTGGTTGGATACAGGCATGTCCCTGCCTGCTTGTTCTGTCCGCGCTGCCTCAGCAGCTGAGAAAGGAACAAGCAAGCCCGGGAAGCAGAACACAGACGAGGAGGGGGGAAGCCGCCGCTTCTCGGTGCCGCAGGTGGCAGCTTCGCAGAGTTGTCGCCGGGGAGGGAGGAGGCACGTGCGTGGTGGAGCAGCCGGGAAGAAGAGCGGGGTGTGAGGGCGAGCTGCCCGCAAAGCCCAGGCGGTCGTGCTGCCTGGCTGGAGGAGGCTCCAGGCTGCTCTCTGGGCAGCGGGGGGGTGCGCTGCGTGGGCGGGCAGGTGGCGCGGCAGCTGCAGGAGAAGCCAGGCTAGTGGTGCCGCGGAGTGAGTCCAAGGCAAGGGCTGAAGTTGGGGGTGGGGAGGGCGCCGCCGGAGCAGAGGCAAAGGCCAAGGCCGCCGGCGGAGGGGGCGGAGCTGCAGCGTTGCCCCAGTGGTGCGGAGGCTGACTGCCTCCCGGCGGGGCGGGCGGGACGCACCTGGCCGCGGCAGGTGAGGGAAGCGGCGTCACAAGGCCGGGCCGGGCGGCGCCTGGAGCCAGCCGCAGCCGGGCAGGGTCCCCGTCTCTCCGCTGCTGGCTTCCTTCCCCCCCGTGCGCTAGCCAGAGGCGATGCAAGCCCTGCTCCCGCCAGGCGCTGAGCGCGCTGCTGCTGCCGCCGCCTCCTCCTCCCCCGGCAGGATGAGCGGCGGGGAGAGCGCTGACTTCAGGCGGGTGGCGATCCGGCGGAAATCTAGCCCGGCCCTGGTCTTTGCTGTCCCCAAAGGAGGCGTCAGCTCCCGCCCGTCGCAGCGACAGGAAGCTCGCAAGGAAGCAGCAGGTAACCCCCCTTTGCGCCCCTCAGCCTGCCGCGCCCTCCTCCCCGAGTGGACAGGCTGGACGTGGGAAAGCCTTAAACTCTCTGTGTGTGTGTGGGAGGGGGTGGATGAGGTTTGGCCCTGCCATGAGTGCAGGGCGCTGGGCTGCAGACCTTTTAATTCCTTCCAGTTCTAGGAGTCCATGGTCCAGGATGGGTGGGGGAGGGAGATACCTCCTACTGGCCCAGCGCAGTGAGAGGCACCTTTCCCACTTCCTGGGAGCTCTTCAGGTCTGGCCACAAAGCCTCTCTCCCCCCCCCTACAGAAGTTTGAGGGGTAGCCCTGTCTCCCCCTGGTTCACTAAAAGATTTCCACTCAACCCCGCCTTGTGTGACTCCTGGTTGGAAGGGCTCACAGATTGCTGCAAGCAGCTTGGGGCAATGCCTTTTGATTGTTTGTACAGTGCCTAGCACGCTGAAGTTCAAGACGAGGATGCTAAAGGGCTAGGGCAGCAGTGGAAAAACCCAGGCTCGTGAGTGGGCTGGATGAGTGGCCCTCTATCTCAGTGGGCCACAATCACGTAATCAAGATGGTTTCCCTAAGATAGGGTAGTTTTGCTAACTGTACTTGCGTATCTAGAATTTGCAGGGCGTGCCGATAGAATTGTAGCAGCACTTTGGCTGCAGAGGGAGTGCAGGACTCTCAGTGTTCTGTGCAATAAGAATGCACCTCATTTCATGTGCCTTGATTTACATAAAACAGGACTGTGTAGCACTTTAAAGACTAACAAGATGGTTTAATAGGTGATGAGTTTTCGTGGGCCAGACCCACTTCCTCCGATCAAATAGTGGAAGAAAATTGTCACAACCATATATACCAAAGGATACAATTGATTTACATAGATATCACTTTAGTAATATTGGTAGGAAAAAACTATACACATGGATACCTGCAGAATCTGGCAACCCTGTGAGCATGGGCCAAAGTAAATAATGTCTCGTGGGCCACACACACAACCCCACATGCAGCCCACGGGCCACAGGATGCCCCCCCCCCCACGAGCTTAGGGTAATGCCAATAACTAATAAAAAATGGAAATATACAAGCAGTTGCCCCTTCACCACCTGGCAAGACTTCAAGGTGGCTCTGGTCTTACAGGCACTATCCCTTCTGGTGAAGCTGGGATCATCTGGCCATTGGGTCATAATAACATAATACAATAATGTTAAATGGTTCTATCCAATTATAATGAACGCAGTAGGGTATTAACTTTTCACTCTGATTTTGGTGGTGTTTTGTTCTGTTTGGGCAATGAAAGTAGGTTATGTATTTTTCTTCTGGAGGCTTCATAGCATGGTGATGTTTGCTTTTAAAATTCTCTTCTGGTGTTAAAAATGTCGTCTTGGGTCAGAAGTGATTGTTTCTACAAGAACTAATTTTTGCATTAAAGCAGCACCTACAACTCAGTTTGAATTCCCAGGATGTGAGAGTTGGCAGGTCTTGGGTTAGTGAGTCTGTCCAATAATGTCTAGTTTGGAACTGAGAAAATGCCATTACAAATAGCATGATCATACTATGTAAATATTCTGTATATGTGTATTCTGTGTTGTCTCTGACTTTTTAGTGACCAACTCTTATTGGATTTTCTGTTAGCTCTTTAGAGCCAATGTAGCTATAACAGAAGAATCTGGGAATTCTGTTTTATCTCATCCCTCCTGAATAGGCTTGTTAAGTTTTTTGATCATTCAGACCTATTCAGTTAAGGGCGTGGTGGGGGTTATACAGGTGTCACTTAGGCCTGCAGAACCTTTATTACAGATGGGATTTGGGGGGATAGAAGGGAACCAACTTGGCTCTGAGAACCCATTCTGAATGTGCTGGGCTTGCAAGTTGGAAAAAGAATCTATTTAACTGTAACTTGAGCACATGGAAACTGTAGAAGCAATAAACGTGGGATTCTGTCCTTGGTGATATTTTAGTTTTTCTCTTTAGAAGGAAGAAAAGAAACTCACCTGTTGTGAATAAGCGACCAACTGTGTTAATTTGCTTCTTGACACAGATTCAAGCTGGAAGTGCCAGCTGCCACTCCCTTAACCTAACCCACGATGTTAAAAGGAAGCTGTCAACTCAGATTTGCCTGCACATGTGAATCTGATGCAAACCAACTTTTATAAAACCCATCAGTGACAATGGCTGTACTGGAATCTTAAGAAGTTGTTTATGAGCAAAATGATATAGCAATTGCAGAGCACATTAATATACTAGTGAATGATTTTTTAAAAAAGCATTTAACCCTCCTTTTCCCATTTACTTGAAGGATTTTGCATAGGACTTCTGTAGTAGGAGGATAATTTTCATAAATAGGAATTGAGTAGTAACTCTTTCCTCCAAATGAGCAGCTGTAGTTTCGTTTGCACTTTTACTAAACCTTGGCAGTTACCCCTCTTTTTCACTACATTTGTGGGAGGCTGAGATACTAATCCAGATGAGTTGTTCCTTGTACTACATACATAGTATGAAGGAAACCCATCATGGCAGAAATCATGTTGATTGACTATACGTGCAGGGCCTTACTATGAATTCACGCACAATTGCTCTGACGGGTTTCTGGTGGCTTAAAGAACCATGAGAGCCACTAGAGGGCTCATAATCTGTTTAAAGAAATACTGTTCAATTCCTCTACCCTGCAATGTCATACTTAAAAGCTTCCATTTCTTAATTTCTTGTGTCACGTTTGATTATGGGGATGTTTATATTTAAAAGGGCTATATGGTACAGCCGTAGTGTCTAAAGTATGTGAGGCACTTTACTGACAAACCATAGCTGAAAGAGTTACTTTCCAAACAGACATGGAGAAGTCAAGAGGTGAGGAGACAGGAGAGGGGGGAGAGGACTCAAGAAAAATTTGTCTAGGACAAGTGGTGGTGATCAGCATTCCTTTTGTAACTCCATGGGTCTTTTTTCCCCCACTAACTATAATGTTTCAGGAGGGAGAGGTGGGTTAAGAGGCCTTGTGCTTTTACAGAGAGAAACTTAAAAATGGAAGAGGGCAGCAACAAGGTGAATGAAGTCAGAAGAGGGATTGCAGGTATACATACTCCAACCTACTGCCTCATTTTGCGCCCTGCCTGTGATGCTGTTATGTTGAATTTACTATAACTTTTCTATGGTGACCCTGTGTGGCAATCATAGGGCATTGTTCACTGCAAATCTGAGTAAACAGAGAAACTGAATAGTGAGAAAGTGACTAGCCGTTACTTAGGCAAGAACCATATCAAAAGTTTGAGAGAATAATAATGCACCAAATAGATACAACGCTTCCTATTCAGGCTACTTCAAAGAAATGCAGTTCACACGACATCCTTGTATTAAAAACATATTCATTTGCAACAGGGGTGAGGTACCTTTTTTGGGGGGGTGGCCACTGACCCACAGAAAAATAAGCCGGTGGCCACACACATTGAGAAGCACAAAAAAACCCCCTCATTGACATGGCTCCCAACTGAGAAGCAAAAAACTCCACAACATATAACTCAGGGTGCCAGGATTCCCCTCATGCTCCAGTCCCATGAGGAGGTACCTTGACTCAGGGCTAATAGATTTTTGTAGAGCCCCCCTCCAGTTCTTGGCCAATGGGAGCAATGGAGGTAGGGCGTGCAGATGAGTGTTTTCCTGTGTCTCCCCCCAGCCCAGGGGAAATGGCAGTGTGCAGAACCACTTCCTCCTTGCTGCCGGGCGGAGCCAGCCATCCACCCACAGGCTTGATCAAAGAGTTTGTGGGGCCCGAGGCATCACACTGACAGCAGGGCCTCACCAGTGGATGCTTCAGTTTAAGTCAAACTCAGCTGAGGGGTTACAGAATCCAGCCTGGGCTGCGCAAGTTGCTTGCTGGATATATTCCACAACACGCTGGCCGGGACAGATTCTCTGCTGTCTTGTGTGACTCTTCCCTCCATACAGATAAAACACAATTTGCAGCAGACAGGGAGAAAGGCCAATGACTTGGGCTGCATTCTGGCTCAGTAGGACCAAACTCAACCTAGATGTGTCAACACACTCGTGAGCCGAGCCAGCTCTGGAGCCCAGATGCCCACAGGGTGAGGCAGGGAGACCCTGGCCAGGCTGGGTACCTATGGAGATTTCCTGCGCAAAGGCCAGTGAGATGAGCAGCAATGCAGGTGACCAGCTTGTGCAGCAGCAGCTCCAGCCGCAGCCCCTTGTACTTGGGCTTGGCGCACTGCGGGGCCCTGAAGGCACTGGACCCAAGGCAACCACCTTGCTTGCCTTGCCCTAAGGCCGGGTCTGCCCACACAAGGGCTTTTAGTGCTGGCTCACTGCTGCTTTTCCACTGTAAGCCAGCACTCCTGCTCCAGCCACGTGTGTGTGCCGGTGAGGCTCCTAGACTCGCCCCCCCATGGCTGGAACATCAGTGCTAGCTTGCCCCAAGGAGGGGAAGACCCCAGCTCTGGGAGATTACTTTGGCCTGCAGGTTGTAGGTGCTCCATCTCTGATTTACTGGTAGGGAAAAAAGACTGATTAGCCAGTTTGATTTCTTTTCATTATCACTTGCAAAATTTTCTCCTTTAATCTTGCCCAGGTAACTAGTGACTCATGCTAGCTCCGGTGCTGCAAATGTACACTTTAGCCTTCTGGCACACCATAATGCATTTTAAAGCTAGGTGTTGGCATGATAGGAAGGGTGCCAGATCCTTTGCAGTTTCTATTTTAGTTCATAAAATGCTAGTTGGACCTGGAGAAAGCTTCCTATGTAACTGCCCCCCTTCAGGTATTGTATGCATTGAAACACTGATATACTTGTCTCATGAAAGGCATTTGAAAATATGCCAGCTATGTAGGTTACTTCAAGGGGCCAGGAGAACTCTCGCAACAATCACAGCAGTCAGATTGGCTGTATCTGGGTGCCAGACAACTGGAAAAACTATCCATGTACCATGGGCATGTGTAGAACACGATGAAGACTGGAGCTGATTCTAGAATGTTGTATCCAGCTGGTATTTAAAAG